GCGCGGCAGCCATTTAAATTTAAATGAAGCCGCAATTATTTAAATCGCGGCTTCATTTCCCTTTGCTGATCAGCCTAATCTACATGGCTCCATCGATGGAGCCATGTAGTTTAGACACACCCGAGGTCTTGTTGAGACAGAGGGTAAGATACAGAAATCATGTAAAATAACTTTGATGGAGCTGCGTTGATTGCTGTCATCTGAAGTGTTTGGAGATTTGTGCTAAACTATCCATACACAAGGTCTCTGCTGTGTTTTTCAGACAATGCCACACATTTGGGGCAGTTAGGAGGCAGTAGCTCAAGAATGGGGGTTCTCTTCCTGGGGGCAAACTCTACCAGCCCTTGGCATACTGCTAAGCAAGGAGGTCCCAACTAGTTTGTGGCAGAATGAACTATAAACCCTCAGGTGGGGTATGATATGGAAATGGAGACTATGGTGTGGTAAAGTATGAGAACCACTGCTCTCGGGGGCATTGAGCATATTGTCATCTTCCCTCTATGCCTCGTCACTGGTCACTGTAGGGAGGGAGCTGGACCAAAGCCCCTCTCCTCCCTGTCCAACTAGTATTAGCAGTAGCCTTAGGCTTGTATAGTCTTTATGTAACCACCCATGGAGTTTTGGGTCCTGGGTGTCTGTGCTAATAATACAGGGAGAGGTATGATGTCCCTGGGAGGGAGAAGGCTAAAGGTAGACTCAGGGCCCTCAGAGGCAACTGAGAGGGAAAGAAGGAAGACATTAATTTGAGTGAGAGAGGTCTCTGCCAGGTCAGAAGAGTTACAACAGCATGTCCCTGGAAGGTCTCTCCTGGGCACCAGTGCACCTGCTCAAAGGAGAAAGATGAGAGAGAAAAGGATTAAAGGGAGAATGATTGATAGGTTAAGCTAAGAGAAATGAGTTAGCCTAGGCAGTGAGTTAACCAGTGATGAAGGCTGTCCGGAGAGCAGCTCCTGAGGAGCCGTGCTGTAAGGAGAGAAGGGACCAGCACTGAGGGGAGGACATGCTTTTTAGTGACCTTGGAAGTCCTTTGCCTGTATGCAGGATCATCCTTGAAAACTTGCTCTGGGTACTTGGCAGCAATAGTCTGCAACTTTTTCTAGTCCCTGTTCATGGAAGCTCTTTGTTTATATGGGAAAGTTCACATGGGAAAGTTCCCAATTAGTTTAGGATATTTTTTCCCTTTGCTTGCCAGCTAAAGAAGTTACCATGTGGCAAGAAATGTTTCTTATTGCTAGATCAGGAGTTCCTGCTACATCAGGAGTCCCTGCTCACTTTAACCTACAGTTAGTTTTACAGAATAAGAAATTAGGATTTGATCAATTATTTGTATATAGTCTGCACCTGTTCCCTGAGCCCCTCTATGGGGAGAATGACCTCAAAGGCAGAACCAGTAAATGTTAGATAGTGAAAATTCTACATGACCGGGATAAGATATTGTGGGCCTCAACTAAGACCCCTCCTACAGATGCTAAGGGAACCAAGCCAGGATCTGAACCTGAGGCTCACTCACTTCATGGAGACTGAGTGCATCTACCCTTAAGTAGTCGGGGCCATAGTGGATACATATCTTCTAAACAGACTATGCCCTAAATCAGGGGGGAGGAACCTTTTTTGAGGCTGGGGCTGCTGATCCACAGAAAAATCAGTCGGGGGCTGCATACAAGGAAGAAACAATCTCCCTCCCCTCCGAAAAAACCCCAAACAACCCCCTCCACATTGACTGAGGAGAAAGACAGTCCCCACATTTCCCTCACACATCCAAGCCTAGGGGAGGCACAGGCTAGTAGATTTTGTGTGCTCCTTCCCTGTGGTGGGAGGGACCCCTGAGCCTCAGGGACTGGATCCAGGCAAGCTGGGGGCCACATCTGGCCCCTGGGCCTGAGGTAGCCCACCCCTGTACTAAATCATTAGTATAACTTGCTCTCTGCTACTACTGAATACACCCTCACCAGCCATCCAGAGGCCCAGCCTAGACCATGTTTCAACAGGACATTTTTCTTCCCTGGCGTTCAAGCACGGGATTGAGCACTGATGACCAATCTTCCCTCTAATATTTTTCCATCCACATGTGAAGTATATTTTGTTATGTGCACCACCACTAGAAACACAAAACCTATCTGTGGGCATTCGGCCAATCAGCTGAGCAACATTTGAATCTCTCCTGGGCAGCCACCCAACTGTACACCTTACAGGGAACACTGCTGATGACTCTCCTAGTATGTGTTTATATTGCTAATTAATGTTCACCTTTTCTTTAATACAATTACCTTGTTTGATATACTTAATATGTATCTAGTCTGTAACTTTAAAATCAATGAGCAGTCTTAGAACCTGAGACTACGTCTACACTGCACTATTATTTCGGAATAAGCTATTCCGGAATAGTTATTCTGAAATAGCTTATTTCAAAATAGAACATCTACACTGCAAGGAAGCCTCAAAATTAGTTGGAGGCAGGCTTCCCTAATGTAGAAGCACTATATCGATTTAGAGCCCCAAGAGGAATAACTTAGAATGGCCTGGTGAGGGGCTATTTTGAAATAGCAGCAGCAGAACATCCACACACGCCGTATTTTGAAATAGCTATTTTGGAATAGCCATTATTCTTTGTAGAATGAGGTTTACAGAAGTTGGAATAAGCCGTCCATTATTTCTAAATTATTTTGAAATAACAGAATTGCTGTGTAGACACACATAGTTATTCCGAAATAACTTTGCTGTGTAGACACGCCCTTAGAGACTAACAACGAGCCACAGGACTGCTCTTTGTTTTTAATATGTCGCTGCTATTACTTGGGAGTTCCCGTTTATCAAATGGCTAGTCTGGGGTAGATAGGACTTAGAACCATGGTCACCAACCAGTCGATCGCGAGGCGTTCTCCCATTTCCTCCCACCCCCAAGAAGCCCCACTACCTACCTCGAGCAACAGTGAAGGTAGTGGAAGCTTCCCGTGGGGTGGACGGAAGTCCTTCAGCTGTGCGTCACTTCCGGGGGTTCTAGAAATGTGCTAGCTGCTTCCTTGCCCCAGCTCCCTGGCGTTCCGGGAACTTACCCGGTAAGTCCCCAGAGGCGCGTGCTGGGACTTCCCTTCTCTGCAGGAGGGGGAGTCAGGCCTGGAGGGGGCGCGCAATGGTGGCTTCCCTGCTCTGTGGTGGGGGGGGTTGGCCCTGAGGGATTGCGTGCGTGGGCTTCCCTGCCCTGCAGGAGCCGGGGGAGTCAGGTCCAGTGGAGGCGCACGATGGGGCTTCCTTCCTCCGCGGGGGTCGGCCCCAGCGGGAGCACGCAATGGAGGCTTCCCTCCAAGGCTGGTATAGGGGACTCCCTGCCCCCACTGGCACTCTGCCCCCAAACCCTGTTCCCTCTCCCCTGCTCCTGAACCTTGTCCCCTGCTGCAAAACCTTGTCCCCAC